GTGCATCTTGCCCCAAGACATAAACTTCACACCTAAAGGCTTAAGCCTTTTAAAACAATGGATATGAATCTAAATAGGTTTGATTTGTTTACAGACATTCAAAAGTTCAAATGGATGTTTGTAATTACACGCAGCATCATGGGCTGGTACTAGATAAAAATCTAGTTTAGGCTTCTTTCGTTTAGGTTATGTTTGGTTTGAAGAAAAATATAGGAAAAGTTAGGGAAACCTTTACAACCCTTGTATTGGTTTCCCAATCTTTGCCTTCCTTTCCCTACCTTTTCCTCCAAACAAAATTTTCCTTCAAACAAAACATAGCCTTAAGGCAACACTTATGATGCCGGGAAATTATGTGCAATTTGGTTTTTGCTTCTATTATTCATGTTCTTTTTTATTTTTTTTGTTTGCACTGTTAAGTGGAAAATGTTTTATACTCTTTAATGTTTCAATTATTTGTCTACATATTTTAACTCCAAAATATTGTTTTCTGCAAAACAAAAGTGGTCACAAATCGGACCTGGGTTGGATGGTAATGTGGTCCAGTTGGAAGATGAGTGGTCGAGCTGACGACTGCAATGTAGTTGAGGGCTTGGATTAGCCGAGGATATGTGTCGAATGTTGGCTGAACCTTGATCAACCAGCCGTTAATGTTGGTGCCCCCGCTCTTACGCTGCATTTGACATTTCTTATTTTAAGGAGTTATCTCCTTATTTTAACTGCAAGGAGACGAGTCCTTAAAATATGGAATGCCAAATGCAGTATAGTCTCCTTGTCCTACCTTTGGCGGACCTTGTTCCCCATTTCCCTTAATGGTTCAGATGGTGGCTACCATCAAGATTTTTAAAATCAATTTGGAGAATGAACCGGTCAGGGGTCCAACCATTTGAATCGAATGGTTAATCCGTTTTAACAAAAAAAAAAAAGTCAAAACCGTTCAAACGGTTAATCACCCGGGTCAAGGTGAGTGCTTCTTCACACTCTTTCTATCGGAACTCTCCTAGCCGATCTTCCATTTCTCTTATAGCTAATCTTGGCTTGTCATAAACAGCTTGGCCTAGCCGACCTCCCATTTTCTTATTTATTTGTGTGTTGGAGTGTTCATCCCCTAACCATACACTGTTGAATATTTTAAGTATTATTCAGTTGAAGTTTTAATTCTTAATCATGGACTGTTAATAATACATCTCATACTTCAAATAAAACGGATTAACGAAACAGGATTCATCTAGCGCTAGCCCACTCCATATAGTTGAAATAAGACATGGACGATGATGATGATGATATTATTATGAAAGGTTGATTGATATTATCGCTAGAAAGCTTTTATCCATTAATATATGCAACCTTGTCTCAGCAGTAGCTAGCATGGTACGTATAATTATTTACTGAAATGGGAGAAAAGGATCAAGGGTGATGATGAGGAATTAGGGGAAGGAATCCATGACCAAGAGCTGCATGCCAAATCTTGTGTACATGGAGCATTGTGTCTCCACATTCATGTGAATCCAATCCTTCTGGAGCATGCACTATCCCTGCTCCACGCCATGCACTCATCACCCTTCTTGGTAGTCACTTCTATCCGAGACTCATTTGTTTAACTTTTAGGGGGTGTTTTTTTTTTTTTTTGGATTTTGAGAGGGGGAAAGTTGGTCAATGGGATTTTGGATTTTGGGGACCAGGGAAAGTTTATTTTTTGGGTATTACTTACCTGAGTAAGTGATATCCATCTCCTAAGTGGATAAATAACTTTTCCACATCGGGGAAAGATTCTAACACTTGAATGGGGCGAAAATGCCCCATTTAATAATGGTTTTTTATAGCTAAATGGTCATTTTCTTTTCTACTTGGGAAATAAAAGAATATGGGTAAATACACTTACTTGGGTAAGTGTTTCCCAAGAAAAATTTACCTAGGTAACTGCAAGAAACTTACCAACAAGCGAACGGGCCTTACTGTGTGTGAGAGAGAGAGACATTACAATAATACAATTTACTTACTACCCATTCTATCTGCAAGGATACGTATTACCCAATGGTAACCCAACCAACATGGGGGGAAAGATTCCAACACTTGAATGGGACAAAAATGCCCCATTTAATAATGAGTTTTTATGGCTAAAATGGTAATTTTCTTTTCTACTTGGGAAATAAAAGAATATGAATAAATACATTTACTTGGGTAAGTGTTTCACAAGAAAAAATTACCCAGATAAATGCAAGTAACTTATCAACAAGCGAACGGGCTTTAATGAGAGAGAGAGAGAGAGAGACGTTGCAATAATACAATCTACCTGCACGGATACATATTACCCAATGGGTAACCCAACCAACCTAGACCTACCTGGATATTACTTGCATGAATTTTATTAAGGCTGAAACTTAGGCCGGCTGGGTTAGTCAATATACAACCCAAAAGAAGGGTTGACTAAGTTCATAGGGTTAGGGCTGAGTCTGGATTTTCTACCTATGACAATTCTATCCACACCTACCATCGCAGTTATACATGGGAAACATCTCATCCTCTTACATGTTATTTTGTACGGGAAAAATTTCCCAATTCAAAAAGGTAGTATTTTATGAGTAAGCATGGATAGAATTCTTGTGGGTAGGAGATCTGGAGTCCTTAGGAATAGGATTCAGTGACAATAGCAATACCTGCTCAAGCACACACGATTTAGAGACAATAGCAGCGAATGATTTCTTTAGACATCAAAGAGCAGGATCAGGAGGGATTGAGGGATCCTGCGGCAGTCCTTCTCCAAGCTGGACTCCAGCACTGTCATCCTCGAATCCAACACCCTTACTACTCCCCCTCGTTGGTCATGGGCGAATTCACATGGGCTCCCCACAGCACATCTCAACTATGCATTGAGGACATTTATCATGACAAAGTACAAGAGATGTTTACAATGCATGCTGAGATGTGTACGTGGAGTGGGTGAGGTGCACTCTGTGGGAAGCTGATCTGAACTCATCATGGACATTGCATAGTCCACCATATTAATTATTCAGCTCTCCATCATTGTCCTTTAACATTACCCTAAAATAAAGCACCGACGAAATGGGATTTAATCCTCAAAAGACCGTACTCACAACTCACATCGTTCACACAACCCTTGCAGCCATGAATTGAAAATGTCTCATCATAAAAAAAAAGTATAATACCGTTTTGTAAGGTCTGAATGGGATCTCAACATGAACAAATCTAGTACATTTCTTATTTTACTAATTATTTAACTTGCTGGTAGTAACAAATAATCCTATCTGGCTCAATAAATTGGGTCTTCAATTTCTTATTTTACTTTTGCATTTTCACTGATTCCAAATACCATAGACTTGACACCTACCACTGGGTCTTTCAAAACGGTGAATGGGACTAGTACACAGGGGAGGTTTATATGATTGTTAGAAAAACCAGGGGACATCTTACGCAAGATTAATATTACTGCTAATATGTTTAATTCTGTTAAGCCAGTTTATGTAAATATATAGAAATTTAAAATATAGGGCTGCTCATGCTCTAACTCAGAATGTGAAATTAGTGCTGTTTCTCCTTTTGTTTTGGAGGGGTGATCACTGATCAGCTTCTATGATTGTCTAGTTTTGTCAAACTCTTTGTAGTCTTGTTCAATGAGCAAGGGAATATATATATATATATATATATATATAGGTGTGTTTGGGATCGATGCCGATTTCACATTAGAGATTTCAAAATGATTGATTATTTTGATGTTTGATTGGTCGGTTTCTAAAATCAATAAATCGGGCTGATTCTGATTATTTTTGGATGATGTGATAGGGGAGATAATTCTCATAAACACAAAAATCACTGCTAATAATGATTACCAAATGAACTGATAACCGATTTGTAAGAAATCGCCTTAATAAAAATAATAATACTAAATAAGTAATTTCAAAAATCAATGATTTTTGAAAATATCTCATTAGAGGAATCAACAAACACAAAAAATTAAATGTAATCTCATATATATATGCAGGTGGTGATACAAAGAAAGACCTCGAATCATATAACACACGAAAGAAATCACTTCAACTCCAATTACAAATTGTGGTAGCTAGCTAGATTACTACTAATTAATACATTTTACATTTACACAAGGCCAGGGAACATATTTTGCTTTTGGGTATTAGTATTATAACTCATTATACAAGCCCAGAAATTAAGAGCATTAATTAATTATTAATTTAGTCCAACAAACACAAATTAGAATTCTCTGCAAATCCGGGATGGATCAAATATTCAAATGTGCGACAGAGGAAGAGGAAGGAAGCCATGACGCAGAGCCGCAACCCATATTTTCTGCACATCGATGAGCATGTTGTCTCCGCATTCGTGTTCTTCCCACCCTTCCAATGCGTGTATTATTCCTGCTATACGCCTTGCACTCATCACCCTCCTCGGTAGCCAATTCTGTGCATTATTCAATGGAAAATTAAGATCGTTTGGTGAGATAAGAGGACTAATGTATTAATCCTCGGTAGCCAATTCTGAAACAAATGCACTTAACTGCAACCTAAAACAGCACTTAATTGGCTCAATCGCTGCAACCTTGGTAAACTGATACATGGCATTGCAACAATAAAATCGCAGTAATCTTTCAATTTCAACCCAGGCTCAGTTTAGAAAAGGGTACAAATACATACAAAATTTTACACTCTACAAATCTGTATCTTAGAAGGAGCATAAATACAAATATGTAGTATGCAAAACCTTGTATTTTGTATGTATTTATATTTGTACTCCTTCCAAACTGATGAGACTCAAGAACAAAAGATAGATAAGCAGGACAAACCTCACACGAATGCACGTTCTCCAAAGCTTTGGGGATCGCCATGGCCGGTGTGTGGTAGTAAACACAGTCATTGCTGCGCAACTTCTTTGGCGAAAACTGTGAGAATGGAATGAAGTGGGTTCCCTTTGGTGCTCGCTTCTGTTCCTCCCTTGTCATAACTGCATCATCCACCAACCATACCTGCAGCAACTCGATCATCAAAGATGATTATAGTTATTTGCAAAGTAAAATGAAATTAAAGATGAGACAAATGAAGTGGGTTCCCTTTACTATTCTACTTTTACCTTCTGGGTGTAACTACTTGAAACGACCAAGTTACTCCACAACTCTTTAGGTAGTCGCAATTTTAGCTTCTCAATATCATCCTTGCTTGTAACAACTACCTGTTTTCAGTTCAGAAATGGAATAATGGATTTGGAGGTTAACATACTGAATCCCAACGCATAAGTTCCAACATTGCAACATTAAAAGGGGTGGATTCGAGCTGAGTCGATCCGAATAGTATGAGGCTCGAGTTCGGTTCGTCATTGTTGTATAAGGCTCAATCTTGAGTTCAGCTCGATCGAGTAAAAATTTCATAAACTCAAAAAAATGTTTTATATATATATATATAATATTTTTATTTGATATTTAAAAAATTAAGAATTATAATATATATATTTGAGCCTGGCTCACAAGCCTCACGAGATGAGCTCTATTAAGTTCGAGCTTCACTCGTTTATTAATCGAGCCTGTAAATTGGACTTGAACTCGACTCAAAACTCGATTGAAATCGAGCCGAACCGAGCTTTTCACGAACTGAGCTCGAACAACTCATGAATAGCTCGGGTCGTGGCCACCCCTAATTCTACCTACTATTTTCAATAGAATAAACTGTGTAGGCTAGAGAGAGAGAGAGAGAGAAAGCTAAGAGAGAGTACCTGGACCCCTCTTTGGCACAAAGATGAGGCAATGGCATAAACAATTTTGGAAGCAGGCTTTCCTCTTAAAAGTACTTGTGTCGTTCCCTGTGGTATGCTATTAAGCACAACAGCAACCACCAAACTACTCCCGTCCACAAGTCTAATCTTTAGTTTTGGATGTTTCTTCACATAAAGTTCCCCATTTCCATTCAATTCCTCGCCCTGTAAATCACCTAATTAATTTGATATATTGAAAACTATAAAACAATTTATTCGTCCAAGAAAAGAAAAAAATAAGTTGAACTCTTTGGACTAGAAATAAAAGGGATGGTGAATGCTAAAACCTGCTAAATATATAAATTTAAGAATGACAATACTGTTATAAAAAGCTTAAATGGAGAACTTCTAGCTCGGAACCATAGATTTGTATATGGCTGATTAAAAAAAAAAATGAAATTGTAACTTTTCCAAAACAAATGAAGCAATACAAACTTCCTAACAAAGAAAAAGGGCAGCCTAGTGTATGAGGCTCCCACCAATGTGCAACGTCTGAGGAGGGACAGATGTACACAACCTTATTCTTACTCTTGTACATATAAAGAAGCTGGGTGTCAATTGGAGTAGATTTGATCCAATTCAATTCAGTCCAATATGAATCTGTTAAAAATGAACCAGTTCCAGTCCAATCAAAATTGATTTTGGACTGAATAGGGTCCAATTCAAAACCGGTCCATTGACACCCTTACATCCATAAATGAAACCACGAAGACCCATCCTCAGTGTCATCCCAATGAAGATAATAAATAGACTAGAAAGTAGAAACTTGCCTGATTTAGAAGACCTAAACTCATAACCTTGACACCTCCTGCATCAGCCTCTAGTATTGCTTTCTCAATCAAATTATTGATTGAATCTATTTTCCATGACAACATGTACTGTAAAACAAAATTTGTACCAGTGATCATCATATATACTTATATATATACATTCTCCGGAGTAAAAGGGAAGAACAAAGAGAACTAAACTTTTTTACCTGAAAACTGTATCTTGGTATAGCCCATATTTGCATCTTGAGTTCATTAAGCATATTTCTCTCAACAGTAAATATAGAACCAGAGATCCATGTAAACAACATGGACGCATATGTCACTGGCCACAATATCCACAGATACCAATTTGGAGCGTAGGGCCCAGAAGCCAACGAAGCAAATCCTGGCCGTAAATGGTAGATGGATTCTAGTGTTGTCAGATGCGTTAGATGAACCACATGTGGCGTCTCTGTCTTCCCTTCCAGTGAAGTTTCATACAGTGTGTCGGAGGTGTCATCCATGGTGCCATACATGTAATCGTAAATAGGCATGAAGAGAGAGTAGTTGGTCCGGAATTTTGTGTGGTGAAGAGAGTGAAACCTGCAGTTGAATGCATGCATCAACCCAATGTTTTAAAAACTAACCTCGAACTTGAACCGGGTCGACAGTTCGATCATCCAGTTTGAATATACGGTCTTTTTTGGCAAAAAAATAAAAAATGGCCAAAACTATTGAATAGATTGACAATTTAACCGCCCGAATCAATAGGTCATCAATCAATTCAATGTTTTTTGTTAGGGAACAGGTTTGAGGTAAAACGGAACCGGTTACCTAGATGATTCTTACACCAAACGGTCTGACCGTCTGAACCAATGAATCAACGGTGATTCAAAAACATTCCATAAACCTTCTATATGTAAGAAACATTTGTTCTGATTTTTATATTTTTCTAGATTTACAAAGGAAACATATATAGTATTTGCATGGTTTCAAAAACTGGTAATATCTCACTCTAGAAGTTGTCGAAATGGCAAACATTTCTTGCATTTGAACAATAAAATTTCCTTAGAGTGCTGATCCCCCGTTTGGGAGTGCTTATTTGAGGTTGGGGCCACATCAATAAATTAACACTTTGTAAATAAGCCTAATAAGTGCTTTTTCAGGGAAATAAGCCAATTCATGAATAAGTTCAAAATTCTGGCTTTTTTTAAAGCATTTTTCTTGCAAAAAGTGCTTATCTGTTTCTGACCTGGCTAACTCACCACTTAATTTTAAAAATACCTATATATGAAATAAGTGTTCTTTTTTTAACTTATGAAACATTCGTAAATAGTTATTAGGATAAACACTTAATAATCACTTATTTATCCAATGAATACTCCCAAATGACACCTAAAACTTCTACAGTTCATGACTTTTGATTCGTTAAGTCAACACATGATTAGACTGATTTAGAAGAATATTCATCGAAAGTAAAAATAAGGAAAGGAAGGGAAAGTTAAGTAAATCTTTACAAACCTTATGGTCTTGACTTGAAATACTCGCCATAGTATGAGTCCACTTAAGTCTAGAAGTTGTTAGTTTAGGTCATTTTTTGCTGTTTCGGGCAATATTTACTATTTTTAATAAATTTATCAATTTGGGAAAGTTGGAGTCTAGTCAAAATAGGAGAGTTTGGAGTTCATAATAAATTTGTTTGTAATGATCGAATTGCATCATCCTTCTAACGATTTCAGTTTCTTCCATTGACCCTTTCTCTCTCTCTCTAGGTTTATTGTGTTTGGACTGGACTCTGTTAGAGTATGAATCAGGTAGGCACACATTTAATAAACACTTGGAAAATTTTTTGACACGGTCTCTTAAAATATTCCCAGCTTATCTTTGAAAAATATTCAAAACAACTTTTGATACAGTTGTAAGAATATTTATTAAGTGCTCATTGAATGTATTTACAATGTTGTGCTTATTAGATCTGGACTTATTTGTTCTATGTTCAGGCAGTAATCACCAATTAATTTGATGGCGAACTATATTTTTAAAATCAGAATCTGTGTCTCGAGAAAATTGTTCAACTTAAAAGCTTAAGCTGTTAGGTGAGGTCATTGAATAGGTTTTTATTTTTTAACACATCAAAACTATCCAGCTTAAAAGTTGAAGTTGTTAGTGTTGTTCTTGAATATGTTTTTATTCTCTAACATGACATCTCATGCAAAAACTCATTGGACTTTGAAGTGTTGACAAGCACAGGCCCACCCATATACACCTTGTGCTGAAATTTAATTAATTGTAATGGGGGCTTGACGAGGATAAAACACCAGACTACTTGGTCAAACATGTTTTGATAACATCTCAAAAAACCGTTTAAGGTAAAAGCTTAAGCTGTTAGATGAAATCTTGGGATAGGTTTTTATTCTCTCTAACACTATATCACAATATATTAAAATATTTGTGGTTGGAAGACTTACGATGGAGTGTACATGAGGTACTTGAGAAAAGGAAAGATGTGGAAAAGCCTCTTGGGAACTAGCTCGAAGTTGCAATGGCCCATATAGTTCATGAAGTCAATGTAAGTTAAATATGCAGCAAGTGCTCCGCCTGAAATAGTCCCTGTTATCATCGTGGCTACCAAGGGGATCGAGAAGAGACTGAAATAAAGGAGATGTTCTGCAAATGGATGAATCACAGCTGCCACAAACAGGAAACAAATTATAGCCATACATATAAGTATATATCGAGTGTTCTCTACTATAGGTTGTGTTTGGTTTGAAGGAAAAAGTAGGGAAAGGTAAGGAAACCTTTACAAAACTTGTCCTACCTTTCCCTACCTTTTCCTTCAAACCAAACATAGCCTAAGTGATTACAGTGCACTAGCATCAACAAATCCCCCAATTCTCTTTTAAGTGTTATGGCAGCCTCGATCTCAGTCTTGGACTATGTGAATGAACCAACTCTATATATGTTGAGTTTGGAGTCTCGATCTCAAATAACCATTCAACCTAAAAGTTTAAACTATTAAGTGAGGTGTAGGTATTTATTCTCAAACAAAGCCAATTGGTATTAATTCTATGACCTGGTTTTAGCACAGCTAAGCTAGCACTAAAACCAAGAAACCAAAGTCTTTGATGCGAATTCAGATTTGCTCCTCACAGAGTGCATTTCACAGCAGCACGGCAATGAGAATATATATATAATGAATGACAAATACTAGTACCAATATATGGCTACCTACAAATGCTATAAGGTTAGTGTGAGATGATGCACTCTGTGAGGAGAAAATCCGGATTCCTTCAATGCATATTTCTGTGGCCCCGTCTTGAAGTGACATCGTGATAGGCCACAGCAATACATCAAAGGCCATGATTTTCGATTTTAACCCTGCATAGAGTAGAGTGTGGGGGAGGGGGGCAATGAAGTAATGAAATAAATTGCAAAGATAATAGATATAAAGATGGTGGGGGCAAATGCAACTGTGCATGTAAAAGGCTTATTCAATTCAGAAGTATTATTACATGTTATGGGCTCCGTGACGATGGAGGAATGATGGTGAGAATGGTAGCGTGAGTAAAGAAAGTGATGGTGCAAAGCTCTATGAAGCCAATAGTAAAGGAATTCCACTGGGCCTGCATGAAGGAGCATTATGAGAATAACGCCATCCCACCTCCACACCGGCAATCTTGCAGCCTTACTATAGAAAATAGGTACAATGTAATATAGAAGACCATTTAATATGATTTGATCGTCCCTGCAGCCACAAGTTCCACAGAAATTAAGATAAGATACATGGGTACCTTTGACCCAACCCCACACTGATCCTAATGGGTCATTCGATCCACATCGACCCACTGTCAGAATGGGTGGGTTTAAGTCGGTGGGTTGAATGGATCAAATGGGTAGGTCAAAATTGTCAACCCTACCCTAGATACATCAGAGAAGAGAAAAGATTGGGGATAAGAAGAGCTAAGATGGAGGGTTTACCAATTTCTTTCCCTGTCTACTTGTTCGAATTCGATACCCTTGTGGACTATCCTGTGCTTGCTTTTTGCTGTTTGATAACGAGCTAAGCTTATCCATATCTGGCTATGAAGCATCCTAAATAGCAGAAATGGAAAGGTAAGGAAGTTTCCAACGTCTCTCTCTGTTTCATCCTTGGTCATGAATGAATAGGTGCTGTGTATCACCCAAGGCGCCAAAACCAGGTACTTGATCAGCCCAAACAAATGCAGCAAAAGAAAAAAAAAAAAAAAACAGAGAAGAAAGTGTCTATCAGAAAATGAAATACTTCAAACATAAGAACCAGATCTATCTCTTAGTAAATGCTTCAAACAAAGAAAGTAGGATGAAAAATGAAGAATACCTTGAAGTTTCCAAGCTTTTTCCATGGCCAGTTGGTTAAGGGACCTGGTGTAGAAGCCATGCTTACAACTTTCTAGCTAGCTTTCTCCACTAGACAAGTAGCTAATGGTCTTTGGCAGCTCCTAGCTAGAGCTAACTAAGAATTTTATATATAGCACCTCTCAACTCTCAAATGGTTTGTGCTGTAACGATTGAAACCTCAAGGAAGAAAAATCTGCAGAAGTCATACCTCTTTGTGGTGTTGCAAGCGCACAACCATGCATCTAGTTGGAATCAGGTGTCGGTTTTCATTAATTTAGAAAGCAAAACTGTCCCCTAGCTATTACCTTAGGGAGGAGGGGAGAAAGAAAGCATGTTAATTAATGGTAGGTGGGAGAAAGAAAATTGGGAAATCCTAGGAAGATGAAATCTTCTAAATTCCATCCTTCATTGATATATACCCACTTCAAATTATTTAGGGTTCATTCATTTTTTGGGTTTTGAGGGAAAAAATTGGTCCATATTCTTTTTTCAGATTCATGTGGGATCCATTGAAAAACACAGAAAAATACATATAAAATGATCATTTTCTTATTTATCTGAATAAATAACTTATTGAATCTTGATAGGTCATGGCTTTGGAGTTGCTCCTTAGGCTGGTGGTTGATTAATTGAGGTGGTCCTCTCCTTCCATGCATGGATCTGGAGCTTTACAGCTTTACAGCTCGGGCATGAAAAATAACAGTTGGTTAACAGATGCATTTTGGGATTATAGGTTGGTTTCTTTGCTTGAATGAAAATGGAGGAATCAATAAAAACCCCTTAAAATTTTTAAACCTTTCTAAAATAGTATTTGGTATTTATTGGTATGATAATTGGCATAAGTTTGAATTGCGAATTTGCCATCAAATTAAATATCACATTTAATGCTAATTATTCATAACTTTTATAACTGTAAATGGGCTAAATTCCTATCGAATCTTCCTAAATTTCAATCTGAACCTTTTCTTGTGATGCCACAATGAAGTCTGCTGAACTATTAAACTTTAACCATTAATAAATTAAACTAAAGGATGATCAAATTATTATAATTATTAATAAAATGAATTAAGATGAATTCGATAAAAGCCTTTTATCAAAATATGATTTTTTAAACCAACTTTATTACTGAATATATGTCAGTAATTGGGTATTTGCTGATATGCTGATAAATTTTCATAACTATGGTTCAATATTATTTATACATTGGAAAAAAAAGGAAAAATTATTATAGATAGGTACGTACCTTGCATGTTAGGGGTAGTGACATTATAAGAGTCTCACTTTTCAAGTGCAACAACCAAGTAGTCTAAACTTTCAAAAATCAACACTCTAGTCTAGCTATTAGCATCTCATCATCAGTTATTTGCAACATGTGATGTTATCTGCACCCACCTCGAAATATTTCAAATTTTCAAAACTACCGTCTACATATTTTATGAGACCATTTCATGAGGGGTTCTTTTGAGTTTTATTAGATTGGTCTTGCATCAAAATCTGACATTCATGATATCCCTGACCTGCTCATCAAATTCATCATTATCATGACTGCATGAAAGGAATTCAAAATGGACAGTTTGATAAATTTACTACACTGTAACATCATATCGGTTATTGAGCGTTGATTTTTTAAAATTCAATGTTGCACTTAAAAGTTGAGACCATGGTTTTCAAAATCGGACCGGACCGGAAAAATCGGGAACCGGTCAGTAGGGGTGGATTTGAGCCGAGCCGAATAGTATGAGGCTCGAGCTCAGCTTGCCTAGGAAGTATAAGGCTCTAGCTCGATTTTGAGTTCAGTTTGAGCTAAAACCTTGAGCTCGAGCTCGGCTCGAGTCATAACCTCGTAAGCTTGAGCTCGATTTTGAGAAAAAGTATTTTATAAAAATTAAAAATTATATATAAAAATATATTTTATTTCATATTTATAAAAATAAGAATTATAATATATATATAGTCATAACCTCGTAAGCTCGAGCTCGATTTTGAGAAAAAGTATTTTATAAAAATTAAAAATTATATATAAAAATATATTTTATTTCATATTTATACAAATAAGAATTATAATATATATATATATATATATATATATATATATATATATTCGAGCTGGCTCGCGAACCTCATGAGCCAAGCTTTATTAGGCACGAGCTCGACTCATTTATTAATCAAGCCTGTAATCTGGGCTCGAGCTCAATTGAAACCGAGCCGAGCCGAGCTTTTCATGAGCTGAGCTCGAGTAGCTCGTGACCACCCCTATCGGTCAGGTGACCAGTTCCACTTTCCCCCAAAACTGGATTTTTGCAAAAAAACGTTGATTTGGTCAATAAACCGCTGACTCGGGTGGTTGAACCATTTGAACCATTTAACAGTTTTGATCATTTTTTAATTTTTTTGATTTTTTTGTCAGAACGGGCCGACCATTTGGTTTGAATAGTCGGACCGTTCGACCCAGGAACCGAACCCCTGACCGATTCTTTGTTTGGATCAGTTTTAAAAACCTTGGTTGAGACCCTTAAGTGTAACCCTCTTTAAAGCATGGTTTTAAAAGGCTATTGAGGTGAGGTGAGGCCGATCAAAAAGGCCTGGCCTCAATAGCCTTTTTCTCCATTGCCAAGGCTTAGGCCTTGAATTGTTAGAGGCCTACGCCTTTAAGCCTTTAGCCGTGTGATGTGCAAGGCCTAAGGCTTAAATAAGGACATATTTTGGAAGTCTTGGTAATGGGAGTTACTATATATTAGTTGTTAAGATAATTAAATGATAAATTTTTTAAGTGTATAATAATCTATCCAATTTTAGTTTATGCCATTCAGGAATCCATAACCTCCTTAAGAACTTATTCACTAAAAGACAAAGCAATAAGTTTTTTCAATTCAACATATTTGACTATTATCAAATGACCCCTAGTTACCTCATTCAAATAACTTCTTTATGGACTATGTAGCTCCAATTAAAAGTCTAAAACAAGTCAATGGAACTACAATGCATTTTTTTTTTATCAATAATGGAGTTACAAAGAATAAATCAACCTCGATGCTTTTAGACCACAATGAGAAAAAAACCCAAGGAAAAAAGTATTAGAGAAAATATAAAACGAAAATAAAATAATAAGTTTGGTACTTGGTATATATGATTATATTTTTAATAAAAAAATTTGTTAGCTTGGTCCTTGGATCAGGTCAAATTCAGGTTGGGTTTGGTAATGTAAATCTAGAAAAAATAACATCTTTTTTTCATTTGTTGTTTTTTAATAAATACAAATACATAGTTTTTATTTGCTTCTTCTTCTTCTTTTTTTTTTTGTTTGATACTTAGGCCTTGCCCCTTTCACACCCAACGGCCTCGTCTCCACCTTTAGCCTTTTAAAACCTTGCTTTAAAGTACAAAATACATATTTTTACAAGGTTCTTAAACCAGACCAGGCCAGATGATCGAACCGATTGACTCGAGAATCGTCTAGACAATTGGTTCCATTTCACCCTAAAACCATTCTTAGGCCAAAAACTGTTGACTTGGTCAGAAACTTTCTGGCTCAGGCAGTCAAATCATTGACCTATTGACCCAAACGCCGATTTTTTTGTTGTTTTTATTTTATTTTATTTTTTGTTTTTTAAATCAGAATGGGCCGTTCATTCAAACTGGATAATCGAACCGCTGACCTAAAAACCCGTGGCCAAAGTGATTCCGGTTCCGGATTGATTTTTAAAACATTGTATTTCTAAGCCNACTATGGAGTTTTGAACACTATTTAAGGAGGACCCATAACCAACCATGGCATTAATATTGTTAATGAATGCCAACCTACTAAATTGTCAAGATCCACCCATTCATATTCATTCACTTTGTACATACGAGATGGTCCCGTATGTTAGATGAAGGTTGTAATTACAATGAAAACATATATTTCTCTATGCATAGGTGACTAAGCATGGCCCAATTAACCACAATGAAGGATAGAGTTAGACTAGAATGCACGTAGCAATTGCATTCTGGATCTTGTCTATTTATTGCAACTGTGTGGTGGTCTTTAAAGTGTAATTTGGGTTGGGTTGGGTGAGAAATTTGTTAAACTTTCAATGCGCCCGAACCCTAACCCGAATCCAATGTAGTTAGAATTTTTCACACAGGGCAACCCGATTTGCAGGCTTACTCTGTACAAAGTGTGATATAATTAATTAGTACACATTTTATTCTACGTTTGTGGTTGTTTCATTTGTATTTTTTTTATTCTAACTTCTTGTGGTTTTTAATATTTTTTGTTACTAAATTTTCACCTTTTTCAGCCGATAGATATTGGTTTCTTCTAGAATTCTATTGTATTAGATCAACTATCCTCTCCTCTTTTCCGGTTTCCATAAGGTCCATCCGCTTTTCAGGTATTATACATACTTTATAGTCTTTATTCATGTTCTTTTATTTCCCAGATAAATAAAAAAATGGCATTTTTAGTGATAAAAAGCCATTATTAAAAGGCCTCACATAAATCTGAAAAAAGAACATGGGTATCTTGATTAATAAGAACAAAAACCTCATTGACCAACTTTCTCTCCTCTCAAATAAATAAATAAATAATAGGCCCTAAAAGTCAAAAAGACAAAAACAAAGATCTTGTTCTATATTCTTCCACCGATTGTAATATTTGTAAAAGTTTGCACATTTCATAAGTTTAAGTGATCAAATCCACAATTGGATGTATGAATCTAATTCATGATTTTGGGCCCGTCCTACCTTCAAGGTGGGCCAAATAACATTAGGGTCAAATCTATACTATTATTACAAGTGGGAATGTGGGTGTGGAACTTTTCTTGACTAAAATACCCATATTGGTGAACTTAGTCCATTTCTAATTATAAGGATTGAAAATGTAATTTCAACTATTACTTTTCACCTCATTAAATCCCCCCCTCATTAAGCCTTATATTTAAGGTATTAACTCTCACTCTTTCTTATTAAATCATATATTTAAGTTATTTTTTCACTAATAAATACTACTAATTAGATCTATGTTCAATACTTTTACCAATATAATGTATTTTAAAATTAACTCAAAAATAAAATCATTATGTCATCCAAGTAGTGACTAACTAGTTCAACCATTTGAATTAAATTGGTCAATCCATGAAGTCATAGTTCCATAATAAAATTTTTACAATATAAATAAATATAGAAAAATAGAAAAAATATAGAAAAAATTGGACATATTTATAATATTTTTATTAATCAAATTAAAAAATAAGTATGATAAACAAGAATTATTTTTATTGGTGATGAAAATGAAATCCATAATCTAAAATTGACAAAAAATGAGATTATTTTCCTATTTGGTGGAGATCAGTAGTTCAACTTTTGGGTCAAATACACAGATTTTGCAAAAAAAAATCAGCCTCATATATAATATCGTCATATATTTATCATATTAAACAAAAAAATAAGTGTAAAACATAGAAATATAAAAAATTGAACACATCTATAATTCTATATTTACACTACTATTAAAAATATAAATAACATTGTGGAATTTTCTTTTAACTAAAATACCCATTTTTTAAATGTAGTCACTATTTAATTATGAGGTTAAAAAAATGTAATTTGAACTACTACATTTCATCTCATTCAATTCTCTCTCTTTTTTTTGGATGCACTAAGAAGACAAAACATTATAAAAAGAAGAGTCTAACTAATTAGGTATGCCTGTCAGTGATACTTGAAAATCTGTGGCCTAATCCAATTATCCCAAATTCAAATGATGTATTTGATCATATTTGAATTTACCTCCATCAAATTCAATTAAAATTTAGATCTGATTATAAAAGTTGAAAAGTAATTAGCTTTTTTTTTGTATTTTAAAAATTAGAGTGGAGTTAGATTAAATTCGAATATGACCAGAGTTCGTTAGGATTCAAATTCCAATTTAAGGTCTTTAAGTCTGGTAAAAATTTGATGTGAGTTTCGATAATTGGATTGGATTCGGATTTTGTTGAATCAAATTCGTTTATAGCCCTACAAGCAAGGGGGCTCTCTCATATACAACATTCATTCAAAAGTTTACCTTCTAAATATAATGTGAGCATGTTTAGTGAAAGAACGAGAGTTATAAACAAAAATGATAGAAGAAAACTGTTTAAAAAACTTCATAATTTTATCTATGTAATGACCTAAACACTAAGATATCAATGACTTATTGCCATTCAATGCCTCCACATCACTTTTGCATCATAAACAATTATTAATTGCCATCATTCTCTTTGAGAAGTAAATGGCAAAGCTTAAAAAACTGATAAATTTTGCCTTTATTGGTTCTTTAACCAATCCCACTTTACCACTTGTAGCAGCAATAAAATTAAAGAAGTTATTATAAACACATAACACAAGTTCTGTTGTTATTCGTAACACCTCCATCACATATAATATAAAAATATTTTGATATGACAATGATAGAAGGTTTAACTAGTTATAAGTTTTATTTTAGAACCCAATGAGCATTTCTTTTAATATTTTTTAAAAACAATGTTATTCCTAACTTGCCATATATTAAATCTCGTTCTCTCTATTTAAAGTATTTTCTCATAAAGAAATTCTCTTAATTAAATCTATATAGAATACTTTATCCGTGCAAAGTAAATCCGTTGGTTTAATTAGATGTAATAAATGCCAAAACAATGAGTATTTCTTTTAATTAGATGTAATAAATGCCAAATAGCATATCTAGTCCATTCCAAACAAATATCATTATCAGTTTTAGGTGCCTATATCCGTTTGTTTCTGTTAGCCCAATTATCATAATATTAGATAAAATCGAACCAAACCGATTCATGTATAATCATACTTCACATTAATTAGACAACAGTAACACCCCATTAAAAGAATCAACGCAATGGTCTGTGATACTCAAAATCTGAGGTATGGGGAGCACCCGTAGATAGGTCTGGAACGTCCATAATTTGCTACCATCTACAATGTTTCCAACTTCAAAGGGTGGGAGCCTGCTTGTGATGATCCATCAGAGAGATCAGTTATGCGGCCAAATAGTTAGTTTTTGCACAGTCGCTACAATTTAATGTTGGATTTGTCATAACTATTTTGATAGTAGAAAGATAATATTCCAAAATATAAAATAACTTCTCAAAGCAATGCATATCATTAAGAAACATCTGAACGGTCGGACCATTCGGGCCATTCTATGATTTTATTGGGCACAACCCAATTAGAGAGCTCAAATAACACTCTTAAAAGTTAAAAATTAAAACTTTTATTTTTATTATTTCCTTATAAAGTTAAAGAGTGTTGTATGTTTATAATCAAGGTTCAAAGTATCGGAAACGCTAAGTGTATCGGAAAGACAATTTTAAGAGATGTGTCGTGATACGCCTTGGATACACATGCGTATCGGAGAAAAATTAAGATACACATAGATACGTTTGGAAACACTATAAATACTTTAATAAATCATAAAAATACATCAATAACACTAAATATAAGACCTAATGAGGTGTATATACATTAAATTAATATATTCTAATGGTTTTATGAAGAAATATTATAGTTAATTATAATTTTATTAAAAATCCTATGCTTAACTATAATTTATAAATTATAATTCTTATGTTTTAATGTTTTATGGGATGGGAAAAATCTGAATCTCCTATCCAACCATAAAACATGCATTGGCACAACTTTGAAGTGAAAATATAATTAATAATTATTTATTATTTATTTCTAAAAATTATAAAAAATAAATAAAACAATATAATATATTCAAAAAATAGTTATTAAAGAAGAAATTTCAATTGCCTTTTAGATATTATAGATCATCCATAGAATTATAATATATTCAATAATTGTGATCAAATGATAAAATATAATTAATTAATTATTTTTTAATTCTAAAAATATAAAAATAAAAAAATTATTAAAGAAGAATTTCTAATTGGTTTGTGGATATGATAGATCATCTGTAAAATTACAATATATTCAATTGTTGTGATCAAATGATAAAATATATTTAAATTATTATTTATTTTTTAATTCTAAAAGTATAAAAAATCAAAAAAATATTAAAGAAGAAATTTCCAATTGCTCTATGGATATGATAGATAAATCTATAGATCTAAAACATATTTACTCTTTATAGGTAAACAAAAAATTACATTTTCAAATTTTTTTGTTAATTTATATTTTTTCCAAATATCTTCATAAAATTTCAATAAATCTACTGATAACACAAAAAAATTGTGATTTTGAATGTAAGAAATGTAGATCAACATAAATTTAAACATTCAAGAAAAAAAAAGAAATCACAAGATATTATAAAAAATTGAAAAAACTTACCTATTTTCACCATATTTTTTCAAAATTTGAAAAATCTTAAAAAAATTAACGATTCACACTTATTTTTTGCAAATTTTTGCAAATCTAGCACTCTAAGAATGAGATTTGGAGTTTTAGTGTCATTTTGGGGTGAAAGAAGAATTATTTCAGGGAAAAGAAATTTGCTTTTCCCCCTTTATTTTTCTTTTTCAGTTTTTGGTCGTATCTTTTTCGTCGATACGCCCCAATACACCCTCGGTACAGTTCAATACAGGTTGGTGCGCATGAAAAAAGATGAGACATGATTTCCATGCGTATCCCGTATCTGATTTTCAAAGATGCGATACAATATGCCCCGTTCCAGGTGTACCACATCAAAATTTTAAACCTTGTTTATAATTTTACATGCTTGGTTTATATATATTATATTTCTATAATGATATATTGTGTGTGTGTATATATCCAAATATATAATTGTGGTTTATAGTTTGGTTTATAAAATCCAATAAACCAAAACGAAATTGTAAATCACAATTTAAAAAATGATCAAATCAAACCAAACCGTTTTTAAGTATAGACCTAACCAAATCACAAATTTGTTTGATTTGGTTCAAACAAAAAAAGAGGAGGAAATTAAAAACAACTTAACAAAAAAAGAAGGAAATGAGCAAACAAAAAGGACTGAAAAAGATATACAATTGCCTATGTATATTTATATATTTATAATTAACACTAGATAATTATGCATATAACATATCCAAGAAGCAGTATTCCAATCCATCCATTATATAGATACAAGCAGAGTTTTATCTTCCCTTTCGGGAGTTCCTCTAGATACAAGCAGAGTTTACAACTGACAAATAGCCATAGTTTAACTAATTAGCCCACACAAAACAAATGCATGATATCTATCATCAACATCTCTACACAACAAATATCGAATGGATCAAACGTAGTGAACTGCAGGAAGGAATCCATGGCGAAGAGTTGCATTCCATACTTTGTCTACGTCAAGCACTGTGTCTCCACACTCATGCTCTTCCCATCCCTCCAACGCATGCACTATTCCTGCTACTCGCCATGCACTCATCACCCGCCTCGGCAGCCAATTCTTTGTAAACATGCACCAAAGTTAGTGTTTGTGATCATCATACAAACAAAGGAAATGAGATGACATGAAGGAATTAATGTGCTATTTTAAGGCCCTGTTTGCTTTTCGGTAAGTTATTTATCTAAGTAAATGTAGTTACCTACATAATTTTTTCCTGGGAAACACTTACCTGGGTAAGTGCATTTACCCATGTTCTTTTATTTCTCATGTAAATAAGGCAATGACCATTTTAGCCAAAAAATCCATTATTAAAATGCCCATTTTTGTCCCATTCAAGTGTCGGCAACTTTCCCCCTAAGTGGAAAAGTTATCCACTTAGGAGATACCCGTGTAAGTGATACCCAAGAAAATAAACTTTCCCTGGTCCCCACATAAATCTAAAAAAAAACATGGGATTCTTGGTCAACGGGAACCAAAATCCCATTGACCAACTTTCCCCTTCTCAAAATCCGAAAAAAGAACGCCCCTTAAGTGAAGAAAATCTATGATGCCGGAAAGATATGATATTGGAAGAGTTTTGATCAACTAAAACCCACCAGTGAATTTTGATAAATACTACTTGATTGGTTAACATATGTATGATACCTGTTGATTGGTCACAAGTTTTTCGGATATGATGTATTTCCGGTATCATATTCGAACCCTATATTTGTTGGACTTACCTCGCAAGAATGCACGTTTTCGAGAGCCTTGGGGATCAACAAGGCTGGAGTAGTGTAGTAAACACAGTCATTGCGTATTCTCTTTAGAGGAAACTGAGAGAATGGTATGAAATGAGTCCCTTCCGGTGCTTGTTTCTGTTCTTCCTCCCTCGAAACTCTATCTTCCACCAACCATACCTGCATTTTCTCTATCACATTATTAATTCTTTTTTTTTTCTTTAAATTTCTGGCAGGCAAGTCCGCAAGAAATCAACTTAAGTGGACTAAATTGCTTTTAAAGTCAACCCTGGCCCAACCTTAAGAATTGGACTTAAGGTATCAGCATGAATCAAGTTCAAGGTCAAGCTCGATCTATCCAACCTATGCCCAGCCAGATCTAAAATTTGACACATCTAGATTGGGCTTGAGTTGATTATTCTGGGCTTGGTGGGCCTATTGGGCTCAATGTATTAAAAATGGCCTTTATGTCTACTTAAACCATTAGATACGAATGCCGTATGTATGTATGTAGCCAAGTCAGGTTAAAGCTGGGTTAGAGACGGGTAACGATTGGACTATCCAAAAACTAACTTGGGTCCAACCTGAAAGACAAATAAAAAATAAAAGCCTGAGGTTTTGGGCGTGGGCCAAGCCCAAGGATAAAAATTCCAAGCCCAGATTGGAATTTTTGCAAGACAAGGAATGGATCCTGGGCACTTGGGCAGATTAGGTGAAGAATCAACCCAAAATATATAATTCTTTCTTTCTTTACCTTGTAATTGTAACTGGTGGAGAGGACCAAATTCCTCCATAACTCTGTGGGGAGTTGTAATTTAAGCTTATCAAAATCAACTTTGTCCACCATGGCCACCTGTTTCAGTTCAGCGGTGTTACAGGGAAGTGGAATTATCAAGTTAGAACCGATACAAAACGGATCAAAGTTAGATTATGAATTAAAATATCATAAAACATTTTTTCATCATTCAAATAGATTATATATTGTCTTATGTTTACATGAGGTTACTGCATTTTAGAGCGAGTTCAGATCCGTTAGCCACAACACATTGTTGGTAACGTTCATCCAACCATATATCGGGATTGGGAATATTGGTGATATAAAATAYAAGAGATGATCGCAATATGCTGCTAGGTAAATGTGGCCAACAATGTGTTGTGATCAGTAGACCCGAATTCGTGTATTCTTCTTTTTGATTAAGGGTGTGATTGTCACCGTTAAAATTTAATTAATTATAATGGGGATAATGAAGATTGACATTAAACTATTTATTCAAGCTCTGAATAGGAACTGTTCAATTTAAAAGCTTAAGTTGATAAATGAGGTCACTGAATAATCAAGTTTTTATTCTCTAACAGTGATTTAAAGCAAAAAAACTAAAAATAAAAACACTTTATTAATAAGTTAATTATGTATACCTGAACCCCTCTTCGACATAAAGCTTTAGAAATGGCAATAGCCGTCTTGGAAACATTTCCTCGTAGAAGTAGTTGTTTTGTTTCCTTGGGAATGCTATTGAGTACAACACCAACCACCAAGCTACTTCCATCCACAATTCTAATTTTTAGATTTGGATGCTTCTGGAGATAAAGTTCTCCGTTTTTATTCAATTCTTCTCCCTGTCAATCAAAAAAGGAAAATAAGATATAATTACAAAAGATTGTTAGAACCACAAATAAAAAGCAAATTTGTATCACCACTGTTGAGTGTTGAACTGTTGGATAAGAGTTCGGATCTGTCACTCACAAGCTGTTCCCACCAAGGTTTTTAAAATCGAACTGGGCAACGAACTAGTCAGGGTCCGGTTCCCTGGTTGAATGGTCCGATTATTCGAATTGAATGGACGGTTCGTTTTAACAAAAAAATAAAAAATGGCAGAAACTGTTGGATGGTTCAATCACCTGGGTCAGTATTTGCTGCCCAAATTAATGGTTTTTGRCGAAATAACGATTCTGAGGTAAAACGGGACTAATCACCTGACTGGTTTCTGATTTTTCCGATTCGGTCTAATTTTGAAAACCATGGTTCCTACATCCCTATCCACGTACATTATAGGTGCGTATTGAGACTATCTCCTTTCTTATTGAAGATGTTCCCAATACATGGGAATGGTGTTATGAGGATAGGGATTTGGGAACAGTTTGTGGAAAGCAAATCCGGAGTGGTTGGATAATGGGTCCAACAACCGATCAAAATCAATTCTGGATCTGCATAAATAAAAGATGGAGATGGGATCTGTACTGTTCACAACAAAAGCTGTCCCGACACAGTACCAACATAATCTGTATCAATACATCTCATCGTGCACTGCAACCCACCCCATGTATGTGATGTGTAGACACAGACACAGATTATGTTGGATGTGTTGGAACAGTTTTTTGTTGTGAATAATTCCACTCCCATACAACCAACCATGTATATCAATCATAAGTGAATATGCCAGTACACATATAAAAGGCCTTATTTGTTGTGGGCTCATCTCATGTAGGTTTTATGTGTATAGAATAATGACGTGTTCATTTGCAATTGGTTGTGTTGTAGGCCGATGTAGATATCATGTGTTGCAACCCCATATAAATGTGTATACAATACTTACGTGTTTACTGGTTATGTAGCCATTATAAATGTCTTTATTTGTTATGCTAGGATCAAACTAGTGTTATAGGATAGGATAGTAGCTCTTAAGGATGACAATTATAAAACATTATTTATAATTAAATTTATTTATTTATTTTAAGTAAATTTATTTTTTAAAAAAATTACTATTATCTAAACAAATTTTCAGGGATTCAGGTCCCTACGAGGAATCCATCCCCATCAGGGATTGGGGATGAAAGACAAATTTTATTTTCAATGAGAATCAAAAATGAAGATAGAATTAATTTTAGAATCGGGATTAGAGACGGAGAATAAGATCCGCGCTCCGAACCCGCCCTGTTACCATTGCTAGTAACTCCATAAGATTTTACACTTTAACACTTCTATAGTTAAAATTAGAATGTCAATATGTCATAATCACAAGAATCAATAACTTCAAAGCATATATGTTTCTTTCCTTAATGCCAACTACCAGGTGCCAACTACCTGGACCAACTCACTTTGGCACATGCCAACAACCTAATTTATACCCAATTTTAATGGATTGGTTGGAGGTGAACCATGTAGAGGTTAAATACACAAGTAAGCTACCTTATATTGATTTTCAAGATTTTCAAGTTGGTGAAGCATTAAAAAATGCTGGTGACATATATCTTAATTGCAAGGTGTGAATTGGCCTGTTGATATGATCTCCAATTCCCTTGCACCTTGGTTGGAGGGTTTATGAATTTGGGGGATTGTTATGTAGCCCCTTGGAGAAGAAAAAATATGAGATGGCAATGGCAAAGACAGGTTTTGAGATAATACAACCTGAATGGGTATGGGTATAGGTGGGGTATGGTATTAAGTTAAACCCAACACTCTCCAATTCATATATATTTGGGATGCATAAAAGCTTTGTGTATTAGGTGTTAAATTTAACAATATTTTGAATTTTATATGAAGGATAATTGATAGTTCATGTATTTTTTATGTATCTTAATCAAATAATTGAAAATTTTGATATTTGTTATGCTCATGTTATTTTACTTATTTGTTGCTTATATATAAGAGAAAATAACGGGAAATTATATTCAGGTTTAAATTTAACCCATTCTACCCTTTTATGTGAAGAGGGTTTTGCATTTTCATGTATAAGGAAGGTTTGGATTCTAAAAATCCAACCGTTATGGGTTTTGGGCGAATACGGATTGAGGGGTTTGGTGAAGTGGTTAGGGTTTTCAATTTACAAAACCCTCCCCAAACCCACCCCACTGCCATTCCTACGTCAATGGACTCGTGATTCAAAATCAAATCCAATTATCACTGATTTGAATGTTATAATTAGAATCCAATTAATAATCAGATCAGATGCAGGTTTAATCCCTTCCAATCCATGCAGATTTAACCCCATTCAATCCATTAAAATCCAAGTCTGATTAAATATAAACTTATAACTGATAAATTTAATATTTATATTTGTATGCATCTATTGTATAAGTTATAAGTATTTTTTTTATCATTTTAAGCACAATAAATTGAATGTATCGGCGAATCTTATCATTTTTAGAGTAGAAGTTCAACTTGGGCCAGAAAAAGACGAGGCAATGTACCTCAACCCTAACACGACCCAACCGACCCAACCCTCAACCCAGTGAAACTGATCCTAATTAATCCAACCCAACCCAACCTAAATGTCCCACTTTTGATAATTGAATTAGGTTAGATTGGATCAAATTTGGTTGGACTAGGTCAATAAATGCTTGACAAAAACCCAACCCAATATTGTTTTCGAGAAATGATTTTTTTTCAAGTGATAATCACGACTAATTAAAACAAAAGATACATAAACATTTACTGATAAGGGCATGATAGTCTCTGCATGCTTCATGCCCCGGGGCCTCGATCCTAATCCAACCTATCCAAAATTAGGTTGTTTATTTGGTTGTAAATTCAATGATAATAAGCTCTACATCAGTCAAAAAATTAAAGTTTTTAAAATCGAATTAGATAAGGAATTGGTCAGGGGTCTGGTTTTCGGGTTGAACAGTTCAATCATTCATATCGAATGGACAATTTATTCTGACAAAAAATAAAAAAAATTAAAAAAATAAAAATCGCCAAAACCATTAGACGGTTTGACCACCCGGGTCAGTAGTTTATTGACCAAATCAATGGTTTTTGATGAAATAACAGTTCTGGGATAAAACAGAATCGATCACCTTACCGATTCCCGGTTTTTCCGATCTAATCCGGTTTTGAAAACCATGCAAAAAATATATGTTCCCTACAATGATCCAATTTCTCACTTAACATTTATGACTGATGTTGGACATTATCGTTGATTTTACATCCCGTTATAAATCCATTGTGTTCAACTAATCCAAATTACAAATTCCAGCAACCCTTTATACCCCTAGCGACGCACCATGCAAGGAATGAAAACTCTTAGTTGAATGAATGAACAAACCTGATTCAGTAGACCCAAACTCAACACCTTAACACCTCTCTGCTCAGCATCCAATATAGCTTTCTCAATTAAGCGATTGATGGCATCCTTGTGCCACGATAAGAAGTACTACAAAACAAAGAGGAACATTTGATCAACCCGAGTTTAGTGTCATCAAGGAGTAATCAACGAGAGGAACAAAGAGTCCATTTGATCTATAGTTGGAATTAGAATCAGAATTGGAATCAACTGTAATGATTCTCATTTTTAAGGGAAGGGGAATGAATGGAAATGAGAATGTGATTCTAATTCTGACCAATCAAATAGTTAGTTTCTGATTCCGATTCCAAACCCATATTCCTATGAACCAAACAGATTAAGCAAAAACTTGAGACATGATTCTTACATGGAAACTAAATCTTGGTATTGCCCATGCTTGCATTTTGAGTTGATTGAAGATGTTCCTCTCGACGGTGAAGGTGGAACCAAAGATCCACGTCAGAAACATGGACAAATATGTGAGTGGCCTCAACATCCGCAAATACCATTTGGGAGCGTAGGGCCCAGAAGCCAACGAGGCTATAACTGGCCGTAGATGGTAGATGGATTCCAGTGTAGTTGGATGCGTTAGATGAACTACGTTTGGTGTCTCCGGCCTTCCCTTGAGTGAAGTTTCATATAATTTGTCTGAAGAGATGTCCAGGGTTCCATACATGTAATCATACAAAGGCATGAAGAGCGACAAGTTGGTCCGAAACTGTGTGTGGTGAAGAGAGTGAAACCTGTAGCACACTTCATGTTATCTTCTTTTCTATCTCATCTATAGGTTATCTTAATTAGATGCAGTAAGGCTATTGGGTTTGGTTTGATAGAAAATAAGAGAAACAGAGAATTTGAGAGAAAGGTCATCTTGTTATGAATCAAATGTTTTTTGTTTTCAGAAAAAAAAAGGAATTCTTTTTATGAAAAGAATGAGAATAAATTTTGAACTTGTTTGGTTATAAGTTTCATTTTTTATCATTCTTTTTATGGAAAGAATGAAAATGAGAATAAAACTAATTAAAAAGAAACTAGTTTAATGAATTGAGTAGGTGGTTGTACAAATGAAGAAAAGAGCTTGGAACTTCAAAATGAAAAGAAATTTAAAATAAAATCAATAACATGAAGAAATACAAAAGATCTAACAATTTCATCAAATTGGAAATAGTATATTCAATAAAGATAATATATTAATAAAGTAATAAAATATAGTAATACATTGTCTATTTTTCATTTTTCAAAAAAACCACTGGTATAGATTTTTGGGATTTTTACTGTTCAGTCCACCCTAGAAATTTTAGTTCTACCATACAGGTGGGATGAATCCTGACTGTGGATCGATGACAAATCCACGAGTAGGATGCAGTTTATAGGGGGGCTACTAATAGAATAGGAGAGGCCTGTAATTTCAGATTTCTGGGGTGGAGTGCAGTCTATTTATCCCTAGAATTTTACTGACAGATGGCCGGCGGTCAATATCCATCAACATGTGTTTTTACGAAGACTGCCGGGCAGTTAATGACAGCCACTATAGAGTTTTTTTTTTTTTATTTTCTTTAAAAATGAGATATGAAACGCCATTATTTTTCATGTTGCAACTTAGTTCGATTATTATGCTATGAACTCATTTTTCATTTTAAAATGAATGAAGTCCATTATGGTAAGAATTTTGTAATTAATCATAAGCTTTCATAGGATTCATTCTTGTCTATTCTTGCCTAAAATGAATAAAAATTGATAAAATGAGTCTCTTGAACCAAACACGGCCTGAGTGCATTGTCAAGGAAACACAGCCTAGTGCATTCTGTTGCTTCGGTCAGGCTGCTAACTAGCTTAGTCGTTAGAAGTTTTGTTCAGCTTTTGACAGTCTTCACCCCCTAAGAATGTAAGAGTACTCTGAGATTACGTGGGTTTTGAGACTTACGATGGAGTGTACATGAAGTATTTGAGAAAGGGGAAGATGTTGAAAAGCCATTTTGGAACTACTTCAAAGTTGCAGTGACCCAAGTTGTTCATAAAATCAACGTAAGTTATGTACAACAACATGGACGCCACAGAGGCAGTTCCATTGAACATCGTCACCAACATGGGAATCGAGAAGAGCACGAAATAAGCTATGTGTTCTGCAAATGGATGAACCACAGCTGCCACAGACAACACCAATCATCACCATAAATATTATACAATAATAAACACATATCAGTGTCTGTGTTAGAATGAGAAAGAGAGAGAGAGAGAGAGACCTGTGATGGGCTCTGTAACAATGGAGGAATGGTGGTGGGAATGGTAGCGTGAGTAAAGGAAGTGATGGTGCAATGCTCTGTGAAGCCAATAGTAGAGGAACTCAACTGGCCCAGCATGAAGGAGAAAGCTGAGAACCACACCATCTGTCCTCCACAGTGGTAAGTTTTTGGCTTCATCGTACATCAAATTCGTCATGTAAAACAGAATACCGTTCAAGAGAATCAGATCGTCCCTGCCATATTCATGCATAACACAGATGAATATATATACATCACGGATTCACGATCGACCAATAACAATAATAAGAACTAACCAATTTCTTTCTCTATCTACTTGTTCGAATTCGATACCCCTGTCCAGTATCCTGTGCTTGCTTTTGGCAGTTTGGTAGCGTGCCAAGGTTATCCATGCCTGGTGGTGAAGCATCCTCCATAGAAGATATGGGAAGATAAGCAAATTTGTCCAGTCTCCATCTTTTGGGCCCTTGCTCACGAATGAGTATATGCTATGAGCTACCCAAGGTGCCAACACCAAGTACTGCAATTAATCACAGTGAGCATTTCCATTAATAGACAACTTTACACCACCATTTCATATATATATATATATATATATTGATCAGAATAGGTGCCGTTTGGAAAATTCTTTTTGAAGATCTTTTGATAGCCTAAATGGTATATATATAATGAGCTTTTGGGGGGGTTCAAAGATCTAACCCGTTTGGTAAGTATCATATATAGTTTACCATGGTCTGCAGAGCTGTTAGATGAAAGATTTTACGGAAAGCTTAATTCACTTCATTTCAAGCTTCCAGATTTTTGGCCATTTTGGGCTTTTGTGAGCTTTTTAGGGCATAGGGTTTTTTGGCTTCATCTTCGTTACCAAATGGAGACGGATCAAATTTAGGTCTTCCAAGCTTTGAAAAAGCCAAATAACCACACAAAAAAGATTATCCAAATGCACCCTTAATATCTTAAGAGACAAGGAATTGGACATTACAACGAGTTAAAAAGGAACCAGCGTTGCATGCCATTTTCAAACATTTACACTAACAAGATTGCAATCAAACATAAACCGAAAGCTATGATTTCTGACGAAGATTTAGGTTTCAGAAACACAAATTTGAAGGATTGCAAACAATGTTGAAGAGGATAAACAAAAGGACCAAAAGAAAAGTTCTAACTGAGACCAATTTGACAACAAAAGAGAAGGGAGGAACTGGACTACCTTAAAGTTTCCAAGCTTCTGCCATGGCCAGTTGGTCAGGGGGCCCGGTGTTGTAGCCATTTAGTTCTTCCTGGGTTTTGAATTCGATGGGATCATGGGATATAATGTAAGGGAAAGCTCCTCTTAGAAATTTATAACACGTTAGAAGTGGCTTTTGAATGTAAATTTTTGCATCCTTTAGGGTCATGAGATAGTTGGCTGTCAATTTTGTCAAGAAGTTGAAGCCTATTAATGCATCTGATTACAGGTGGAGAAACCGGTATTTCTTATAAATGCAAAACAAGCAAGAGGGACGATAATATATTAGGGTCCATTTGATTTATAGTCAGAATCGGAATTGGAATCAAAATTCTGTTTGATTTAGACAAGAATTGAAATCAGAATTGAAATAAGCTGGAATAGAATTTCATTCCAAGGGAAGGGGAGAATGATCATTCCCTCAAATGGGAAAATGTTATTATAGAAAGAATAGAAATAGGATTTTGATTCCATCCAACCAAACAATTGGAATTGAAATGGGTCATTCTTGATTCCGAATCCAGACCCCTATTCCCATGAATCAAATGGGCCCTTATACTTACTCTTTACAAATGGAGTCAGGATTCAGCTTTAAGACAGGTGTCCTATATTACACCTGTATGAGACTATACAGTATTTGATTTGGATTTTTCAGAAAATTTGGTACACTACTTTGATAGCCGAGATTATTAATTCTTGACTATTAGGGGGCCATTTTGGTAGTCCAAATTTTTGTTGATTTTGTATACTTATTTCTGAATAGCCTATATAAGAGTAGGGGTGTAGGATTTGGTCAAATCCAATCCGGTCCGGTTCAATATGAGTTCACTACAAATAGATCGGGTCCAATCAATCTGATGAATACTTTGGACTATTTTATACTGGTCCAATTCAATCTCTAGACTCTCCAATCTGTTCAAATTGGTTTTAACCCAAACCTGGTTGGTTCAATCCGACCCAATCTAATATAAGTTCATTATGGATGGACCAGGTCCAATCTAATCCAATAAATACCATTAAGTCTGGATTAGTCCAATTTGATATATCTTATTGGTCCGTCCAATCCATCCAAATTAATTTTGATTTAGACAAATCCAATCCAAAAGCAGTTCATTGACACCCCTAGATAAGAGCATCTTAATATTTTACAAATTCAAGTTACCGAGGGGATTGATTGCATGATATGAAGAAAGTGGGTATTAAAAAAATATAATACAAGGAGTTAGTTGTTGTGTCACACCCCCAATATATAGGCTTAGTTTGGAAAGAATACAACACAAATACATACAAAATAATATAAAATACAAGATTTTGAACTCTATATATTTGTATTTTGTACTTCTTCCAGACTAAGCCTTAACAAAAAAATTTCCAATTCATGTGATTTGGTTGAGCGCGGTCCAAATGAAAAAGACAATAGGAAGAACTGAAGAAGACCCCTAAGAGGAATCATTGAAAGGGCAGATTTAATTAATTATTTGCTATTTTAAGTCTTTTGTACTGTAACAAATTTACACTTTGACAGTCCCAGTTGTACTGTCGTCGTATTGTAGTACATAGCATGAATGCTAAATGCAAGGCAAACTGTAACAACCGCAAGTGGTGAACCCTTGGTTGTCCGGAGCCCTCCAGAGTAAAAATTTTATTTATATATTGAGAATATGTTAAATTTATGGGGAGATATTTCGATGTATATTGAAATTCTAATTTTCTGGGGTTTGTATTCTTATTCACTATACATTAAGCTCGGTTTGGAAGGAATGCAAATATAAATACGTACTACACAAATTTATATAAAATAATACAAAATACAAAATTTTATACTCCACAAATTTATATTTATTCTCCTTCCAAATTAATAAGCGTTACGAACATTTCCTTATTATGAATTTAATATAAGCCAGAAGGGATCACCCATATTCATGTTGCATTCAGCTTTTTAACTGATCGAATGGAGTCCAATATTTGATATTTTGTTTTTAAAATTCAAAAAAAAAAAACCCCAAAATTTTAAAGTGGGTTGGGAAGCATTGAACAAATACATTTTAAAATATTAGTTTAACTATAGGGCAGGTGTAAGTAAAAGTAAAATATAAATGAACATTATAATATAACTTTTATGACTTAGTACCAAAAAAGTCAAATATATGATGTATAATAGTATAAATAATATAAATATATAGGAGATATTTACAGTATATGTGTACAGAATTTTTGCTTTCTAGAGGCTCCCTAATTCCATTTGAAGATTCTAAAGCCATGACTAAACCTCCACACACACACTGGTTCCTTTTCAATCGATCGGTTCATAATTAACAATTATGTTGGTAAGGTTGTTGAAAGCCATGACTAAACCTCCGTCTAAGCTCTTATGTTGGTAAGGTTGTTGGAAGCCCCAATCACTTCTCCTATTCAAATTTCAAACCCTTGTGTTGATTGACCACATGACAGACGATAGAGAGAGATGGCCGACAGAAGTAATTAAACTTGGATCCTTGTTGAAAATTAGATGTTTTCCTTATTCATCAGACTTAACTATTTGGGAATTAGCAGAAGGTGATCGTGGAGTAGTAGGAGGGGCTGTTCTAACTTTAAATTGCCTCCTAACATCTGATGTAGGACGGGGAGGGGGTGAATGGGTCAATGAGACTTAAAACAAGAAATGAGAGAAAGAGAGAGAGAGGATTGAGGGGGGCGGTTAAAGGGTAGGGATGTCAGTGGGTTGGATTAGGTGCATGGTAATCCACACTGACCCGACCCTATCAGCAGGTTGGTCTTAATTGGGTTTAGGGTGGGTTCAGTAGCCCCTCTTCATTCAGGTAAACCTGTATCGAACTGAACCTGTTGACATCCCTAGCTAATTAAGTAGGTGTTTGGCATCGGTGCTGGGAACATCACACTAGGGATGTAAATGGATTGAATCGGATTCGAATCCAATCTGACATTGGTCATGTTGGATTTGACCGATCGAATCTGATAAGGCTCGATTTGAATTGTTTTCTTTAAAAATTAATAAATTATTAAAAGAAAAATAAAACATACTAATTTAAATACAGTAAAGCAAAAAATACAAGTATTTTTAATTATTTTCATCATATATATGCATATTTTTTATAAAAAAATAAATAATATAATATTTTTATAAATAAATAAATAATATATATATATATATATATAAATATATAATACATATCGGATCGGATATTCTCGGATTAGACAGGGGGGTGATCTGAAACCGAATCCAATTTCCGATTGGATCCTATTATCCGATTCGAAGATCCGAACAGGGGTGATCCTAATTCAACCAAATATGATCATATCAGATCCATTTGCACCCTTACATCACACCGTTTTCTCATAAAAACGGTGTTGGGCATGTGGAGTTGTAAGGTGCTTATTTTTTGTTTGGAACCGATAATGCCACATAGGCGTTTTATGAGAAAACAACACCGATTTTATTTGGTACCAGTGCTAGCAGCAATATTTTCAACATTGATTTATATTATCCAATGTCTAAGATGATGCCACATTTGAAAGGAATACAAATACAAATACATACAATATATATGCCACATTTGTCCTTCCATACAATATATATGCCACAAATTCATAACTAAATCATTAGCACTTAAATAAGGCCTCCAACTTCTGAGCAATCTAATGACACTTTCTTAATCTCACTAAAAGTATAAAGCTAACTTAATTTATAGGCACAAAAAAATTAATTATTAAAAGGGCCCGGATCTCCTACCCACGACAACTTTACCCTTGCTTATCGCAGCCACACATGGAGAACATCTCATCCTTTGCATAGTATTACGCAGGGGGAGATGTTCCCAATTCACGGGGTGTAGTGTATTGTGGGTAGGCATGGGCAGAGTTTTCATGGGCAGGATATCCAGAGTCTTATTAAAAGTGGTAAACCAAAAGTTTACTAAACACCACTAGAACTCCTTATAAAAAAAAAAACCCTTGTAAAATAAAGTAGGGCTGTTCACGGGTCGGGTTGGGTCGGTTTACAGGGGTTTTCCCAACCGACCTGACCTGGTCGGGTTACATGAGGTGGAAACCGAAACCGACCCACTGATAGGCAAAACCGACCTGGTCGGTTTGAGTCGGTTTGGGTCGGTTTCGCTTTTGCTCCTGTACAAAAATGATAGAGAAGCCTAGAACTAGAAGGACACCTAATTCTAATTGTAATTGCCTAATGGGTTGCCTATTTGGTGTAAAAGACTATAGAAATTAGGATATATACAATTTAGTTAAGTAAGAACTAGAAGATAGGGCTGTTCTAGTTCTAGTAGAAGACTAGTTAAGTAGGAAACTAGGAACTACTGAACTAGAAAACTAATTGGTTCGGGTCGGTTTCGGTTATTACATAAGAAAACCGAAACCGACCCGATATATCGATTTATGATTTTGCCCAACCCAAAACCGACCGGTGCTGATGAAAACCCCATCGACTCGGATTGAGTCGGTTCAGGTTGGTCGGGTTGGGACTTCTTATGAACAGCCCTAAAATAAACCACCAAAACTAACTTGAATCAAAGACAAAATAATTATTAAAAATGATGAATGCATATTTGCTAAAAATAGTAATTACAAGAATTACTATAAATAATTAGTTAAAGAGTTAACATAAATAGTAATTTCAAAATAAAAATATAAAAAACAGAACAATGTTGTTAAGACACCAACAACCAAAAAAATAAATAAATAAATAAACAGGAGGGAAATTGTCCAAAACCTGTGAATTCTCTTCAAAACTCACCATGTCAGTGAGATAACTGGCATCATTAATTTACTTTTTTACCCTTCTTCTGCTGGCATCATTAACTTACTATTTTACCCTTCTTCTGCCGCTAAAATCTTTCTTTTCTATCTCCGTTAACTCTGGAGGATACCCAGAAAAAGAGGGTCTGGCTCCTGCACTGCTTGGCCTTCTCATTTGAGCCTGAAGTTTCCATCTTTCAGGTGAGCAAAGGATCCAGGTTATCAGAAGTTTACATGGAAAGTGTAAGCAATGATGCATTCTTGTCATCCAATAATCTCCTCCTGGCTTTCAAGATTGGCAAGACTGTTATACAGTGTCAGGT